TGAAGTCATCGAGTGCTTCTCTCTAAAGAACTGCTGTGGCCCCAGGCAGACTTAGAAGCAGCAAAATACATAGGTGACCAGTGCCGTTGTTCCATGTGAGAGATGACAGTGGGCAGACTCAAGGCAGCAGAGACAGAGAGGGAAAATGGCTAGATTTGGGTCCATTCATTAGTAGTTTGTGTTTAGTAGTTTGGTGATTTGCTGAGTAAGGATATGGAAATTATAACAGAATGGCATCTGAAGAGCAGTTATTGAGTCCATCATTCACTGTTCTCTCTCTGATTCTAATGCCATCCTTCCCAGGATACCGAGAGCGTTTCTAAAGTTCTTTGGCTGGATGAGATACAGCAAGCCATCGATGAGGCCAACACACACCAGGACAGAAGCAAATCAATGTAAGCCCTGTTGTCGTCTGCTTGCCAAAACTGTCTGCTTAATTTGGATATGTGCCTGAGTCATGTCATTTTTATTTTCTGGAAAGATTTGGATTCTTACCACGGTTCAGTTCTTAGATGCATATTTATGCAAAAATATTAGCTGGTACCCCTAGTTTCAGTGATTAGATGCTATTGCTAACAAAGTTGACAATGTCGTTGAACAAAATCCAGAAAGTAAAAAAATGCCTGTAAGCTCTCAATTTTAGAATTGAATCAAATCTATTTTTCCCCTGAGTCATAGAAAACTGGCCCACTTCTGCTTAATATTCTCTTTGTCACGGCCTCTATTGTTAGTCTGGATTTTTCAGAAGAAACAGAGGGAGGGTGGAGGAAGAGAGGGAGCAGATAGTCACATAAATGTTCCTTTAACTAACTGTGGAGCCTGCAAGACTACAATACATAGGCCAGGCTGCCAAGGGCAGGCATCATTACCCTAATCACCATGGACATGTGGGTGTGGTTACGGTATGACCTCAGCTCTGAGAAGTAACTGGAATAATCTGACTCACAGATTTATGGACTTGGCTAACTGATCGTGGCATTCCTAGAAATGAGATCTACTGGTGGTTACTGAATTCTAACTAGGTCTAGATCAACTGAAGTCTAACTCGTATGTAAAAACAGAATCAAGACCCCTCAATTCCTAGACCACAGACAATTTACAAACCCAGAGCCCCTTAGAATGAAGGGGAGGCCTTGGGCAAGGATGCCACTACACTGCCAAAAAAAAGTATGCTGTTAATATTTCTACCAGCCTCCCTCAAAGGGACTGGAGCTTTTGCCGGGGCATCTATACTGGGGGCACAGGCAGATCTTCAGGGATAGTTGGACACTGGCTCTGAACCAACGCTAATTCCACCTGAAGTGTCCTCCAATCAGAGTGGGGACTTTGGAAGTCAGGTAATCAACAGTGGGCTCCAAACATACCCTGTAGTTACCCCCTGTTCCAGAGGGTATAACTGGAATAGACACACTCAGCACCTAGCAGAATCCCTGGATCAATGCAAATGATTACACTTTTTATCTTAAACCTCTGTTTTCAAGGAGTAATGGTAAGAAAATCTACTTGATAATCTGAAGTATCTTCTACATTGATGTACTAACAGTCTCCCTATATGAATTCTGACATAAAGTGAAATAAGACTCCTAAAAAGTCATTACCTGGCAGTTTGGGGAATAGTTAGGTTCTGTCCAGTTCTCTCAGGTCACAGATTGCCGCCAGGGTAGCTCAGTCTTTCTCCAGATGTGCATTCAGACTTTGGAAGCATCTGTAAGGAACATCTGGTTTTTATTGCCTTAGCTTAGTAAAATATCTGTATTTCTCTAACTTAAACTTTTATACCTGAAGATCTTTGAAGTCTTGCCTTTCTAGCACTCTAGTGCTTGGTGGAGTGGTACAGAAATACAGTTGAAGATATGTTGGTCAGAGATTTAAATTTTCATATAAAAATATACTAGTGAAATGGATACAGTTTCCATATACTACCAAAGGCAACCATAGTCTGAAGAGATACTTTTAAGAAGTGAAATTGTAATATAGCACACAAATAGCCAAAATGGTTATGACTTTTTCTTGGAGATCAAACCAATTTATATGTCATTTTGTTCCTCTTACTCATTGCTTTTTACATTTGATCCGCAAATCTTGGGTCTATTTTTCACATTGAGACTCCTGGTTCTGTTGACCATAAAAGTAAAAAGTTTACTCAAATATGTACGATTGCGTATTCTGTGCCTCACATCTAAATCCTGTCTCCTTCCTGTACCCTGACCTTGCAAGAGTTGCTGTACTTTCTTCTACAATGTATAACAACAAATAAGATTCTTTATTATGTTAAAGCCATTTTATATTCAGACATTGAAATGAGGATTTTCTGGGTTTTCAACAAGAATGTAATCATACTTTTAAAAGTATTTTTCATCTTTTGCATGAATACTTGAAACAGACTCTGGTCATGTGTAAGCATCCTAAATAATTTGATATAAGAGTGTGTTGGTCCATGTATTTCACCAGAGGCAAGACTGAAAAGGGCAGAATAACTAAGTCTCCTTCATTTTGGCCAGTGTTCCTTTTTGCTGGAATATTTCTGCTTGCTTCAAGTAAGTTTGCCTCAACCTTTGACTCCTTAGAGCTGTGTTTCTCAACCCTTTTTTCATTATTGTACCCTAAGGAGTCTTAAAGTATTTTTCCTTAATCTCTCTTCATCATGAAACTTAATGGCACAAATAAGTTGTATATATGTGTTTTATGTACCATACATAGATGCCATATGTAGATTACTTACCATACGTAGATTTTTTTCACCCTCTACCCCCAAGAACCTGTGTCAGCCCTACTGGGACTTGAGAATGCAAACCTTAGACAGCTAGCTGGTGTGTGGCACAATTTGTAAAGCAAACTTTTTTTTTTAACTCATAGGAGAGTCAAAGGAGGCCTCTTCATTTGTTCCACAGCCAAATGCATATGACTTCCTGGACGTCATTTATCTAACATCCTCTACTATCTGCGACTTAGCCACACACACTGATAATGCCAAAACAACCTAAACCAGTGCTGAACAACCTGTGTGTTAGGGAGATGGTCTACTTTCCTCACTGTTGATACCTGGGACAGACTCCTTGGTCTGTTTATTCTTTTCATGGGTTTAACTCTAATATCTATGCCTATTTCTCTTGTGAGCACAGCAGAAGCCACAGATTCCAAGATGATGCAGAGTTTGGGCTGCCACAGGCAGGCACATGGATGTCATGATCCCTGACATTGAGGAAAGAGGGCACACTAACACAGCAGACACATTTGAGGCCATTTAATGCCAGCTCAAATAGATCTAAACACTCCAAGTCCTTGAAAGTACCACTCCACTGTCTGTTGCCCAGTCCAATTTTAATGGCATAAAAAGACTCTTCTGGCATCCCTCAGCAAACATTGAGCACCTATGATGTACCACAGAATGTGAGTAAAATGAGGAACAAGATAGTGCCAGTTGTGTGCTTTCTCCAAGGCACGTTTCAGATTTTCATGGAAAGTGTGTCTAGTAAGATAAGAGTTTGCACCAGAAATTGACCTGTGGACCAGCTCCTTGCACATTAGTTCTCAGTGATAAAGAACATTACTGTATGCAAGCAGTGTGTGCCTTTGTAATGTCATCTTTCAAGGAAAATTACATTTTGTTTTATTAGTTCAATGAAACTATCACATGTAATTCATGTGAGAATTCTTCTTTACCACTTACTTGTTCCTTCTGCTTTTCTCAGACCACAGACCTTTCAAATGTCAGATCTCCATGCTACAGAACTCTCCTGGTAAAGAGGAAGCAATGGTTTGCCTGATCACTATTAACCTCAATAGCCACAAGGTCATACTGCTGTCTATCGCTGTTGCCTAGCAGTCAGTGGAGTTTGCTAGACAAGTTCGTTAGTATTTGTGTGTCCCTCTGGATGTGCATGACTTTAACTTCAAGCTGGCAAAAGTGGACTGGCTGGTTTTCATGCTTCTTCAGCCATATCTGTGAACATCACTACGATAGCACTATGCACACATGAACATAATTCAATGACAACAGTATGTCATTTAGCACTTGTTAGAGTTTGACACATGTGGAAGGAGGGAGGGAGAAAGGGAGGAAGAGAAGGGAAGGGAAGGAAAAGGAAAAATATCCATCTCCCCTTCTTTTCACCAGGATCTTTTTTTTAATATCTGAAAAGTATTTAACCTGGCTTCTTCTCCCTTTTTTTGTTTGGTTGGGTTGGTGTTTTTTTTTTTTTTTTTTTTTACATTCTATATTTCTGACTTGCTGCATTGATAGGTTGTGAAAACAGTACTTCCATTGGTTGGACCAGAATATTCTTACTGAGAACTAAAGTGGATAATAAAGAATTTATTAAATTAACTTTCTTTAGGCAATCGAGACTTTAGTATGACTTTGTTGGTAAGGAGAGGTGGAAATTTGAAATCTTGTTGCATCTAAAATAATCCAGAATGAATCTTCTGGACTCCATTGCACATATCCACATATTTAGGTTTAAGTTGCCCCTGACAACATTGCCAAATACACCAGCATGACACAAGAGAATATTAGGATTTCCATAGGTTAAATAGCATCTTGCTCACATTAAAATAAATGGCTTCATAAAATTGGTTCTAAAATTTCAATTGATGACCTAAACTAGGGCTGCATATCTACCCTGATGTGCATTCACCAATTTCAGTTTACTATGGTGAGCAAAACCTAGTGCCTGATACCACACAAGACTAACCAGGAAGAATTACGATTTTTAATATGCCGTGCTGCTATAGAATCTTGTTCTTCCTACAATCTAAACTGGTAGGTGAGTTGGTGATTGACTCTGGTTTTTTTGGCACATACTCTCAAAAGGTAAAAAGGGTTAATACCAATTCATTTGTAAAAGGTTGAATTATATATTTGTGTGCCTTCAGAGTAAGTAGAAGATAACCATTAACAAAAACATTTTTTTTTTCATTATCCAGGGGTTACTCTGGTGATTGACGTCAATCAGTGTTTGGATAGAAATCAACCAGGTGACATTTTGTCTGTGTTGAAGCTTCTGCTAGTAATACGCAAGACATAATTCCTGAATGTGCCGACAGGTACTATGATGCCCTTGTGAAAGCCAAGCGGTCCAAATCTGAAAATGGTAAGCTTTCTTCATTACATCGTGCAAACTAAATATCATTTAAAATATGATGGTTTCTGTGGTATTGTATTTTCTTAATTTTAAGACAAGTAGTACTTCCAAATCAATATTCTGAAATTTTTCATCATCTGTGGCAAAGGAAATTTTTTAGATTTTATTTATTTATTTGGAAAACTAAGTCAGTGACTAGGCCTAGATGGTAACATCATATAATTGAGGTACTATAAGTCAATTTTTACACTAATATTTCTGTCATTTAGTCCTTTGTGAGACTCATCGTCCATGGTTGCACAGTATTAAGTAGAGATACTAAGTAGAAATGGATTAACAAAATGTGACATTTCTATATAGTGACAAAAAGGAGTGAAGAACTGACACATGCTACAACATGGATGAATCTTAAAAACAGCAAGCTAAGTTAAAGAAGCCAAACACAAAAGGTCACCATCAGATGTCTGACTGCCCATTTGAAAAGAGAGCCATCTTCCTTCCTAACTACTGACAAATAGATCATTTGAGGGACATTTAAAACCAAAAAAAAAAAAAAAAGCCAACACATATTCAGATCACCTTTGCTTAGTTATTTGAATGCATTTAAATATTCTGTGAAGAAAATCACTTAAACTTTGATTTACCTAGACAGGCAATCAGTGTAACACTTACTTGGCAGCTATGGACTTAGTTTAGTCTAAATCAGAACCTTTTAATGTCTTTGGTTGTCCTTAGTTCTGTGGTCTGGGACAGAAATCATGACTATTCAACAAAAATAAAGATTCCTCAATATGAAATATAGCCCATAGATTCAGGAGGAGGAGACACTCTTCTTGATCAATATAAGCTGTGTCTATCTGCCATAGATTTTTCCAGCATGCCCCTCAAACCAAATTAAGTCCTCGCAACAATTTTTTTCTCATTTTATGTGGTTGTGTGGAGAGAGCTATATGAGTGAGAGAGATCAGGAATGTTCTTTTTTTCCTACTTTAGTTGACCTCGGTGGTGTACTAATTTGGGTAGTGTTGTGTCCAAAGGTAACTCACTTTACTTTGGTTTAATGCAGATCATTCCCTGTTAAACACGGGTCACACTCCTTTATGTCACTATTTATGGGAGAAATTGCTGGGAGACTCATGAGCAAAGAGAATCCTGTTCATTGGTCTCCTCTCTACTTGTATCACTCACATCTGTATGGGACTTACTTTCCTTATTTGCATTTCCTTCTCCTTGGCCATTTTGACTCCTATCATCCTCATGGAAGATTTGGGGTACAGAGCTAGTATTAGGCATTTATCTCTCCTCCTTTCCTTTGGTTCAGCAGGGAGCTGCCCTTGAATGCATGGAATTCATTCCATTTTACCAAGTCATTTCTAATTATTTTAACTTCAACCACCTGAGTGGTGAAAAACATATTTGTTGGATTATTTTACATATTGAAGAAACTATACTATTATAAAGGTTTCATGTTCCTTTGTAGAATTTAACAAACTTCTTTTCTTTAGTTTTTAATGAAGGTCCATGGATCAAATTCAACTTGCAGGAGAACTATGACTACTATTACAACATCGATTCTAAAGAGAGTTCCTGGGTCCTACCTGAATCATTCTTGCCTAAAGAATCGTGGCTCACAGGAAAAGAAATTGAGGTAGGCAGTTGGTATTTGATGGAAAACTATACTATACAAAGATAAGTGTGGGGCTGGGGGTGTGGTTCAAGTGATAGAGCACCTGCCTAGCAAGTGGGAGGCCTAGAGTTCAAACCCCAGTACCACCAAAGAAGATAAGGAAGATTGCTTTTCTATTGTATTGTGGAAGTGATGGAAAGAACAAATTGCTTTATTTAAAGACCGGACAGGGATAAAGTTTGCATGAACTGCAGCTGGATATGGCTCCATTGTTACTAACTTTTATAATTTTTTCCCATATTGGCATAACAAAACCAAACAGCAAGAAAGCTTTGGCAATTCATTGGTGAAGGTAGATTATCCTGAGAAATTAATCTTCACACTTTCCTTGGCAAAATTAAGTTCAATTTCAGTGATACTTTCTTAGTCATCAATGTTCAAAATGCCTTATTTTTTCTTCCCCCCTTAAGCCTACAATTTGAGCCCTTTCCAACCAAAATGCCATTTTTTCCCACAAAGTTCTGGAAAGGGTTTCTCTGCTGCACACTATCCTAGCCATCCCCAGGATGGCTTTAGGAGCTGACAACAGGGTTGGGCAGAGAACAGGATGAGTAAGCTTTAAATGTTTGCTTCTTCTGAAATAGGTGTCTTAGCATGATTTCATTGTTTAATGTAATTTCGAAGACTTTGCTTGTGCCAACATCTAAACATAAGTGAAAACAACACAGCTGAGAAATTTTATACATGGCTTCTGATTAACTAAGGCAGAACTTAGTCATGTGTCCATACATTGCGCTCATCAAAGTGAAACATCATACAGTGAAAGAGTTTTTATTTAGCCTCTAAAGATCCCCTTTAATGAATCTTGACCATATTTGAAAGTTTCAGTTTATCAGATTTAACTTATCCCTTTTTTAGCCTATCTGAACTTCTTGTTAGAAGCAAAGACATACTGAATTAATTAACACACATGGCATAGGTTATTGGCTATGAGGATGTTTAAAATGTTAAGTACAGGAGAAAGAAGCCTATTTAGAAAGTCTGTGTTAGGATCACTTGTTCAAATGGTTTTTCTCACTGGTCTGTGTCTCAGGGCACCTGTTGATTTCTCTCCATCTGCCTGGTCCATCTTAATCCAAATTTCTTCTCAAATATTCGGCAGTTTTTATGTATGTACAGGAAGTCAGGGCTGCATATTTACAAACCAACAACTTAAAGGGGAAGTAATAGAAAACTAGGGCCAAAGTCTTCTTTTCAGTCTCAATTCTAGATCATTTAATTTCATTCATTTTATGTTCTCCTCCCTCTATTTAAGGTAATAAGAGAACAGTGACAAGGGATACCTCTCTGTGACCATGGCTTTATTAGATCTGAATGGTTACTTTCTTAGAACACAGAATTAAGGAACCAGATGCTTCTTAGAAGTTTCCTGAAGCAAAAGCTATAAGCAGATGGTAAGGCAGATATTACCAGAATGGCTTTCTTTGTGGGGTTTTTCTTTGTTTTGTGGAAAGCTGGTGAAAAGCAATGAAGAAACAGGAGTGAGTAAAGTCCGATGGATGTGAAATTAGAGTCTGTCCTTTTGTAATAAGATGTCTGAAACAAGCTATGGCCAAAAGTAACCTTTCTTAACTGGTGTGCCCACAAATACCCAAAGAATGGGTAGCACTACAAATAAGATCTTCTGAAAGCACAGAGCCAAGTACACTTTATTTGATAGAGTTTCACTCTCCAGTGCACCTTGATAACAGTTTAATCCCTAAATCGTCCTCCAAGAAGAGACAGAGCAAATATTACCATCTTTCATCTTTTCTGGTGGGGCAGCTAAGGCACAGAGTGGACAAAGCAAAACTTGTGTTACTTCTACAACTCATATAGAATTCATCAGTAATCAGAGGTTTATTCCCAGTGATTTCTACTCTACTGTCTTCCACTGGTGCCATTGTTTTTGACATGGCCACCAGTATCCCTGAGGGTTTATCTGTGCTCTGGAATAACACAAAACACAGCTCAAGAAATAGATTTATCCTAACACAGATAAATAGGCCCTATAAAAAGTAATACTTCTCAGAGGAAAATACTCTTGAAGGAATGTGCACTAAGATTCTCAGAGAGTAAGACCAAAAGTTGGACCCAAAAGCTATGAGAATTACTGATGGATCCAGGCATGGTAATATGTTATAAGAGAAAATACTAATAATAATTTTATTCCATCTTGGAGAAGAAAAAGTGGACTATACAAAGATAGCTCTTATAGAATCATTAAAAGTCAACTGCATCAGAAGCCGGGCATCAGTGGCTCACATCTGTGATCTTAGCTTCTCAGGAGGTAGAGATCAGGAGGATCACCATTCAAAGCCAGCCTGGGCAAATAGTTTGTAAGACCCTATCTCAAAAAAACCCATCACAAGAAAGGGCTGGTGGAGTGGCTCAAGGTGTAGACCCTGAGTTCAAACCCCAGTACTGACAAAAAAAAGTCAACTGCATCAGAGATACTGCCATGTAGCAGAAAAATTGTGGCCTGAGTCTGACAATGCTTAATAGCAAAACCTCTAAATAACAAGAAGAGCGTGAAGACCATAATTTACTAATTTCAGAGTTTCAAGATTCTTACACTTTTTAGGCAAAGGATATTGGAGCAGTGGATTACTTAGGGCTAATTTTTTGAAAAAGTGAGATTATGGACAGTGCTAAAAAAATCATATGCATGGTTGGAAAGATGTACCAAACCATGAAGAAGAAGCATTAAAGAGTTAAGATTTGATATAAAAAATTGCTCAGATGGCATACAAAGATGCCCCAGATAGAACTTTTTGTTATATCGAGCATCAATCCATTAGGATTATTAAATGGAGGGTCTCATGCTATAAAAAATCATATTTCTTCTAAACAACCTGAAATTAATCTTTCTCAGTGAATACATATAAATTTCTTCTCCTACAGCAATTTATGCATCTTTAAGTGATTTCACTTTTAACTGCTTAATTTAATTAATCAGCCATTGGGTCAGTTGCCCTGGATGAGAGTCTCCAGCTGCAGACGTGGGTTTAGTGTCTCTACTTGTGTCTCACAACAAACCTAAAAGTAAACCTAGTTCAGCACTCACACAGAAACTTGTCATAATCCTCCTTTTTTCTCTTCCCCCCCGATTCCCGTGTGTGCCCTTGATAGCACTGTGTTCCTCTGCTACTGCCTTTCTTTCTGCCCCAAATATTTCATTCACCCCAAGCATCATCTTAATCTTCCACAGCTCATGGCAGAGGGTTCCCTGCTCTGGTCTGAGGAAGGAAAGGGAAGGAGGAACCTGAGGACATCATGGGTCCTGCAGCCCAATGGAGGCAGGGAGGCATTTCTTCCAGTAGTCATCCTTGTCCCTTTTCCATTCTGTGGAGCCTCTTAGTTCTTGCTGGCATCATCTGTACATCTCTGTCTCCAAATCCTGACATCATTCAACTGTCTTCTCACGTCCCCTCAGCACCATGCTGAGAGGACTCCAAAATCATGTCTCTAGAAAGCAACTAAGCCAATTCATCCCTTGGCTCTGGTGAAATCTGTTTCTAAACCAAGCCGAAAAGAGTTAGCCATGTCATTTTTCTAAAAGTTAGAATGTCCAGAAGCTATTCTGTGTGCTTCTCTCACCTGATGTGTGAAGTGTAACCATAAGAAATATCTCTTGCCAGGACATCATTGAGGAAGTCACAGCCCATTACATCCGTCAGAATATGTGGTCTGCTTCAGAGGACTTGCTTCTTCGCTTCCAAGCCACAAGCTCAGGACCCATCCTTAGGGAAGAGTTTGAAGCTAGGAAGTCATTTTTGGGTGAACAAGTAGGAAATGTGGTCAAAATACAGGTATGTGAACCATCTGCCACTGATTACAGAAAACTGTCCTGTTCCGCCAAAAAAAACTTTGATTTGAAAGTAGGACAGTCAACTACCAGCATTCCAGTGAACAGTTCTGACTGCAGACTTTTTCCCTTACCAGACCCCTTAACCTACTTTAGTGAGGCTTTAAGATGGGGAAGTATCTTGACAAGGAGTGCTTTCTCCTCTGGCCTTCTGGAGAGTATTCGGCAGCACGTGGACTTGCTCAGCTCCACCTGCCTAACTGGAGCCAAAGGGACAGCTCAGATCAGGGTTGAAATCACATTTCTCTAAAAAGTTGGTTAGTGGATATTGCATGGCACCTAGCTTCTTCTAGCCTGAAATGAACTGAAACAGATTTAGCATCTCCAAGAGTCTTTCACCTTGTATAATCTGTCACCGTTTTTATTTTTGTTTTTACTTTGCTGTTGATGTGACTTTTGGCAGTACTGGGATTTGAACTCAGGACTCATGCTTGCTAGGCAGGCTCTCTACCACTTGAGCCATGCCTCTAACCCTTTTTTTTCACTTTAGTTATTTTTTGGATACCATCTTGTACTTTTTGCCCAGAACCAACTTCAGACCATGATCCTCCTACCTATACTTCCTGCATAGCTGAGATTACAGACATTCACCACCATACCAACTTTATTATAAAATGAAGTTTTTAAAGACTTTTCTGCTATAAACCTGACACTCAAAGGATTTTTCTTTTTATTATTATTATGGAGGTAGGGTGGGACAGAGGTTTGGACTCATGGCATTGCACTTGCAGGACAGGTGCTCTACCGCTTAAGCCACACCTCCAGTCCACTTTTGCTCTGATTATTTTGGAGATGGAGTCTTGAGAACTATTTTCCTGAGTTGACCTTGAACCGAGATCCTCCCCAGATTAGCCTCCCAAGTATCTAGGATTAGAGACATGGGCCACCTGTGCCTGCCTCCAGCTTGTTTATTGAGATGGCTAACTTTTTGTCCAGCCTGGCCTCAAGCCATGGTTCTCCAGATTTCCACCTCCCAAGTAGCTGGGACTACAGGAATAAGACACTATCCTCAGCCAGTCACTCTTCATTTAGGCCTGCAGGACAAATCCTCATCCCCCAGTTTTTTTGTTTGAAAAACTGCATGACTCTTAAACTTGCAGGTTGGGAGAAGAAGAACTTACCAAATTTAGATAATTCTCTTGTGTGTTCCCTGAACACCTGCTACCAGTCACCACACTGGCTTCTGAGAGGCTGTTTGTCCTTTGCTCATGATGTTACTGAGTGTCGGAGTTTGGTGGAGTTTTGCTTTGGTCAGTGACTGTGAGATTCGATTTCCAGATCAAAAGCGTTTTACTTGAAAAACTCCTTTGTGGTCCTTGGTGAGCTTGGCTGCTTTCCCTCCCTTGCTGTAGTTGTTCAGGATAGAAAATGAGCTTTATAAACTTTGTCATTTTGTGTCACATGTGACAGGTGTTCGAGTGCTTGATGTGCTGAAGATGTTTGCAAGGCAGAAATGAAGTTTTTAAAGACATTTCTGCTATAAACCTGACACTCAAAAGATTTTTCTTTTTATTGTTGTTATTATTATTGCTGTACTGGGGGTACATTGTGACATTTACAAAACTTCTTACAATATATCATAGTTGAATTCACCCCCCATCATTCCTCTCAAAATATTTTTCTAGTCTACCCAGTGAATTTCTAGTTTATTCCTCTTAAACAAATGGTAGGCAAGACACACAGGATATGAACAAAAGTCTACCAACAGAATCATCTATATCCATCGATGCTATAGGCTCTAGTCTTGCACAAAATTCAAAGTGTCAGCCAATGTGATACAATATGGACCAACCCACTCTCCAACATTGGAGCACAGAGCAATGGTGCTGTGGAAAACCTAGTGAAAGTCCACCATTGCAGAATCCCTCTGAAGTCATGCAGGGCTGCAAAAGGACAGAAACAGCCCCATGGGGCCTTTTCCTCCACCTCAGCAGAGGCAGCAGGATTGAAGAAGAAGCCATCAAACTGTGAACTCACCCCACCATGCCTTCTTTTCACTCATCTGACAGTTTTCTAATAAGGAAGGCATGATGTCGACAGGTAAGCCAACATCACAGATGTGGACCAGAAATGAATACGAATCCCACACCTTCCGACCCACAAAACCAACAGACTGGGAGCCAACTGGCTTCACGTGAATCTCATTTCTCATTAAAGTGGCCACTTCACCCTGAATTAGGGAAATGTTGATATCAGAGCAGCCCCTACCCAAAGCGGCTCAAGCTTTCTGACTAGCTGAATTGGCCCCAGAAATGTCAAAATTTGGAGAGAAATACAGAGGCAAATTTCCTAGACCCAGGCCAGCCATACCTAGGCTCCACCACACTGCCTGCCTATAGTCCCCGGCTGAGGAACTGTATAGCGTACAGGGAATATGCATAATCAATCTAGCCCTCTAGCACTAATGGAATAAATCAGAAGGTGCCCAGGCCAACAAGAGGGAAGTCAAGGAGAGCCTATGGAGCCTTGGGTTTTATCATTTTTGTTTTCGGTTGGTTTTGTCTCTTTATAGTGCTGCAAATTGAACTCAAGGCCTGTACATGCTAGGCAAGCACTGTACTGCTGAGCTACTCTCCCAGCCAGCCAGACTATTTTTGAGCAATTTCTTTTAGAAGGCCCTGGTAAAACAATGTATGTTTGGGCCAGGGGTATGGCTTGATGTAGAGTGATTGCCTAGCTTTGTTGTCAGCACAGAATTAGTAAAGCCAGTCCTGATGGAATTAAAATGTATTTTTGCGTCTATGTAGACCAAAAATTCTATGCCCAGCCTGGTTGCCTTTGATTAGAAGGGTAACAATGGGAATATTC